TGTGGTTTGGTGATCAGACACCTGATGGCGATCCTCTGTAGTAGCAGCCGCCCCCTCAATTCCCATTTCCTCCTGCATCAAACAAGTATGACTAAACCTCTGTGATAATCAGTGATTTAGCCTACACAGTACCTACTCAAATTAACGTGTGTTACTTGTCCTTGTCTATCAACGTACCTGGCTAGCTTGATCATCACCGCCGGGTACCGGTCAGCGCATCTCCTCGTGTCTGACACAGTGATTTCACCCATGAAGAGCAGTGTTTCCTAGGCGATAATGAGTAACTATCTTAAGACTGTGCTACTCAGACCTAAAGGGCCTACTCGCGATTTTATGGTTGGCAACTGACTTCATAGTCTCGACCACGGGAGATCATCTGTCAGTAAGCATGTCGCAGCCTTCGACATATGTGCGCTAACGTAGGCACATCACCAATCACTGCTAAGGAAATTGCCAGTATAGGTATTTTGACCGACTACCTATGATTCCTCATCGAGTGCCCAAAGGGTTCTTTTTCTTTTCCAACATTTTATTTAGTTTTTGTTGGATCACGCCATAGGTTTATCTCCGTATACTTGATACGATTTTAACTGTTTCAAACTTGCGTTCATGTCAATACCGCCTAGATACTGTTATCTTATCGGTTGGCTTCTTTACAGCTCGAATCACTTTGGCGCACCTGAGGTTCCTATATTCCTTGCGCTTGATTTGCCGGACAGCTCGTTTTTTGTTTCTTACCGGCAAACTTTTTCATCGATTGCCTCCCACCCCTCAATGCCTGTTGTGTTCACTACTAACCGTCTTTAATTACGCCGCCATTTTTCGCTCCAGACCTCTGCAACCTCGATCCTTTCTTCGGGAAATCAATTTTAACTTCCTATCAGCCGACAAATTCCTTGCTTACTTACCCTGGGATTGATTAATACACTGTTTTGTCTTATCTACCCTGGTAGTGCCTGGACGCGTGTGTTTTCCCTTCCGTTTGAGGATAGCATCATTGTGTATACAGCGGTGCAGTCCCACGCTGTCGCTGTACTCTGCTAAGCAGATTCATTTAAATGACGTCTTTTTCTGTCACGACCGCCGCATCATCCCGTTCGTTTATCGTTTCCTCTGTACTCCCGCACTTCTGAGCGATAATGCTGCGCGCTTGTTCTCTTGGCTCCACCATTTACAATTCCTTGGCTTTATTGTCATTCTTCTTGTATCGTACCTTATGTTTCTTGGGTTTGCTTGAAAAGAATCCAATCATAAGTACATTATTTTGCTGCCATATTTATTGATTGAAAGCTGCACTTTAATGACTAGCCCACTCGTGGCAACAGGAACCACCACCTCACTTCGATGCGCAAAACCTTATCGTTTCACTGAATTTAGATCCACAAGCTTTAGCCTACACCTGCTCTGTGTGTGTACTCAGACCACTGTCGTTTTCAACTACCTTGCTAATTCAATTTCCCTTCACTCTGGTCACTTCCCCTGCTCTTGTCCATTAGTACTTCAAAGCTTATCAAATGAGTCCACTAGAGTTTTGTCTTTTTGCACACCACACTCGCACATTTCTTTCTCCCGACCGATTATATTCACATTAGGCTAAACGGTTCATGAACATATATTTTCGACACACTCATGCATGCCCCAAGGCCTGGGCATTACATAAATTCGTCCAGATTAGACAAATATCCTGATGCAGTATTGAAACAGTATTCTTATAAAAAACAAAAAATAATCGGAATCGCTCGCAAACGTGTGGGTGTCCGGTGTTACTGTGATATGTTTTATGACATTACACCCTACATGTAGGTATCGTAAACTTGAAGGGATCCTCTCATTGTAAACACACACACACACAAGTCGGATATGTCAAGTTTGGTGAGCCCCAGTGCCGAAACGTGATTGGCAGAGACTGGGAATATATGACCCACCTTGTTGATGATTATCGAGTGATGCATGATGTCTGAGGCCGTAAGAAATTCCGAGCGCACGAAGGGAGCTATGGCTTCCGCATGAGCACCTACATCGTATTTGTCAATTTTTAGTTGGTAGCTACGGGACATTCTGTAGGTGTCGCATATTGCCACGTCCATTACGTGTGCTGTGGAGTTCTTGATGACGATTATATCCGGCTTGATGTACGTTGATACCGCTGGGATGCAGGGCTCCGGAATGATTTGGGCTTCTTTACGACGAAGGGTGTTGGTTAGTTGCTTTACGATGTCATTGTGTCTCTTACAGCGAGCATCGTGGGTTACTGCACAGAACTGCAAGACGTGGAAAAGTGTTTCGTTTTGTCCTCAAGCGCCCCGGCAGTGAAGATTGGTTGGGTTTGTGGGTAGTCCTCCTCTGGAGCGTCGAGATTTGGTCGACAGTACCCATGCTCAAAGTTGGGTTCCTCTGATGTAGCGTCTGAGAAAAATTCGCTCTGGGTTTCTTATCCAGTTATGAGACGTTGGTGTCGTAAATACCCCCCGAAGCAAGCAACTGTCTACTGCTTGTAGCAATGAATTCTTCTGTTTCCTTCACGTCACTCTTCTCAAAGACGACTTGATTCCCAATGATTACGGGTTTCATGGCGAGGCGCTGGATGGTAGCCGCTGAAGGTTCCCGTATCGCCCAGCTGGTAATTGGGTGGGAGAGTGAAAGATGGCGTTCCAGACGGTCCTTCCGAAGCAATGGGATCATACTAGAAAGGCACGGAACCCCTAGGCCATAATCCTCAATTGATGCGTGAAAGAAAGCGACGCTGGTGTCCTTGGAGAGTCGTAGCCATTTTCGTATACTTGCCCGGATCAGCCTATCCATCGATTTGAGGGTCTGCTGCTGCACTACCGCCATTGAGAGGCGATGTGTATGACGTGGTAAAAGATAGGTGCGCAAGATATCCATGCGCTGGTAAGGTTTGTGGGGGGCTTGAGATATTTCCGGCATCTGTGTTACGAGTTGTTCTAGAGAGTTTGACGGGCGTTTACCCTTCCAATCAAATGTTAATCCAAGTAGCCGGAATTCCCCGGATTGCTGGATCAAGGGGATCTGGAGGGCGCCACAGGGAAGCTGTGCCGTGTTCAAAATAGACAATTTTTCTTTTGCTGCCGACGGTGATATCCAGTACCATCGATTTCATGTGGTTTTTTGATAATCCAAGATTCTGTATATCCTTCCTAAATCGCCCTAGGTGTTCGATCAGGGCTTCTCGGTCACGGACAAATAGTACGACATCATCTGCGTAAGCGACATGATCGATTGGACCTGCTGGGGAAATGCACCGTTTGTCAGACTGTGTGTGTAATGCTTCCCCAAATGCCATGATGAAGAGCAAGGGAGAACGTGGATCTCCCTGACGGAATCCACGCCTTAAGTGAGTCCTCAGACCGTTGATGATTGAAATTCCGGTGGAGTAATAAGACGTTAGGTAATGTAGAAGAAAAGAGGGGACACCGAAACATGTGGTTGCGTGAAGCAAGGAAGCATTGGAGATGGTATCAAAGGCTTTGAAATATCAAGAGAAGCAATGGATAAAGGGATAGTGTTCAAGTGTGAATATCTAAGTGCGGGGTGCAATATCGTGGGGGCTTCAAAACAGCCGTTTTTACGAAGAAAACCAGATTGAAGGCGGTCAGCTGGGAATGCAGTAGTCGTAAGTCTTCAGGGCGGGAAGGGTTGTGGATTTTGGGTACAGACTTTACGCGGGCCAGGTTCATATGAGTAGGATAAGGGGAACAAGTCAATAAGCAGTTTAAGAAAGACGTAATCAATCTCAAATCCATTCGACTGATATCCTTTGGTGTGATGCGGTCTACTCCGGGTGCAGATCCATCCATTGCTCGTAGTGCAGAACCCGTTTCCTCAATGGTTTTGGGTTTTACGAGATCCCAGTTAATAGTTACACATCCGCATGGTGCCCGGTTATCAGATACTGGTGGTAGCGACAGCACATCCTTCCAGAAGTCCTTGAAGCCCGCGATCCCCTCTTCATCCGGCATGAATGCCGTCTTCCAACGACCATCGAGTACTGTAGCGGCAGCGTCTTTTCTTCGCAAATGGTAGAGGTGTTGTATGTGGCCGTATTGAAGTCGCCGTCGCTGACGATTATTTAAGACTGTAAATACCCGTTGTCTGCTCTAACTGGACCCTCATGTGTGAGGGAACAGAGTTGAACACACTCTTTCCATGGAGTTACTAAATTCTGCCCTAAAGTGCCCCGTTTGCAGGTCTTCAATGACTGTTCGCAAGGTAGCTGCACGGTGTTCAGTTTGTGATTTACATTGGGCCAATTTTTCTCTGGCTTCCGCCATAGGACTTTGAATGACAGCTTGGCCACCTGTGGTTCCTGTAACCAGGTCTCAGGTATCTGTAGCGAGCTTCGCATGGTTGTCAGCGCATACTTCATTCAAATCGACCCCTCGAGTGATTTCGTACGGTGAGGCTGAGGATACTGATAGAGTGGGCGATAGAGCGGCGGGCTGTCGCCAGCCCAAATCAAGGTAACGTATGTTGTGGGTGCTGACATTCAGCGTGACTGTATTGTCGTTTTGATGGTCACAGATGAGAACCGCGCTACGAGAGGGGTGAAATCATGCCTGTGGAGTTCAAATGGACTGGTCGGTGGACCTCTTCGGTCAGAAGGTGGTAAGGGGGACTTAGTGAGAATGAGAGATGGTGACCCGGCGTTCCCTTGCTCCCATGGTGTTCCAACTGAGATCTTGCAAACGTATATTAGTGCAGTCATTTGATCGGCATGAAATTGGATGCGTAGTTGCCTGAGCAGCTGTGGAATACAGATACGCTTTCTTGCATCGTTAAAGTCGTCATCCGAACATCATGCAGACATCCTTTCGCTGCCCCCGTCAGCCGTTGTACAATAGTGACACATTCTATTTTTTGTTCGGACAATCACTCAGCTCACGTCCCCGCTCTCCCGGGTAATTTACGCATTCTGGAGTCCCTTCTCCATGTGCGAGTTCGGTTTTTCTCTTCTATTGCTTTTATTTCGTTTGTTTCAGTTACGCTGCTTGCTGTGATTTCCTTCAAGCCAATAATTTACTGTCCATCATTCGGGCACACGAAGCTCAAGACACTGGGTGAGTCGGCCCCCTCTCTCTTGACCACTTTTAATTTCTAAATGCCGTTATCCGCATCCTCAACTGCAGTACTCGCATTTTTCTGAGCTTGTTCGGAAGATTGCACTTTGGACTCCTTTCAGTGTTCCTTCTAATAACTTTCCCGTCCTCTTTGCCGGATAGATTTGCCTATCTTCGCAGCATTGATCTTAAGTCGTCCTATCAAACGGGTGACAATAACGCTGGCTACTCTTTCGACTTTTGTTAAGATACTTGTTTTTTGTCATGTTGGTTATAGTGAACTAGTGTTACCTTCTACTCGATTGGAGTGTAAATTACTATTCTGAGTAATCAATTGGACTTGGGGTGCGACAAACCTAGCTATTCTATCCAAGCCTAGTCTCGCAATCCATTTTATGGGGACCAGTTCAATGCAGTGCAATGTGGTCCGTGACCGAGATGTATTAACTCGCGTTGCCTTGATACAGGCCGCCTAACTAAGGATATTAATTGTCATTCTAATGCTTAATGAGAAATGCGCAGGAATTAAAATTACCAGGTGGAACAGTTAGGATCCATGATTGAGGGAATGAATCCAAGAGTCCCACTGGCTTCGTGATTGTGTCCCGTCCAATATGATCTCCAACCGTTGATGTGATCGATCCGAGCGCCCCACTCCAAGTAGGTGGCAGACACTACCCAGACTTAGCTCTTAGGCCTGGGTCTTCATATCCTTTTGTTATGTCATTGATTGGTCGCCTCAGGGTTTCATTTACTTGACCGCACTATTGCTACTCCGTACACATATATATCATACATTTGATGACCACGTAATTTGACGTTTAGCTGGCCATCGTGTTATTTGCCTACCCTGGAGATCAAAAGTTTATCCTTTTAGTCAACGGCCTCCCCGTCCGAGCGCCCTACGATATTCTACCATGGACCAGCTATGGCTGCGACAGACATTATACAATACGCTTCTTCTGTTGCTCCGCCTGCTTTTGGTATACTGTTACTGTGTCTCTACTCTCTTACATTCTACCACTTTCCATTTCATGCTCATCGGAGGGATCTGTATACCAGTATTGATTTTTCTCCGATTAATTTTTACTTATTTGCTTCTCCCAGTGGGATGGTTTCCCCTCATTTGATGCAGCGCAGGCAATTTCTGACATTTTACGCCTTTTGAGTTGAGCTATTTTATATTCTCGCCCGTTCAGTCAGATTACCTCTCGTTCATCAAATCTATTTGCAGTCGCTACATTTTCTAATTGAAAAAACTATCATTTGTTCTCCATTTCAATTCCTCGAATATGACGGTTTAATAAAATCGTATTTTTTCCTCTTAACCATGCATTTTCCTCTTTTTTCCAGCTATCGCATGTACCGAAAGAATCAGGCTACCGACTTTCCGTCTTTGATAACGATCTTCAGCGCCCCAAATTACCTAGACGTATACGAAAATAAAGGTACAATTCTGATGCACCGTTTTTAGTCTCCCATTTGCATGTCCGATTGATCGTGCTCAGCGTTTCGTTTATCTTTATACACATATCACGGTTTCCGCAGTTCAGCCACTTACCACTTGGTTGATTCAGGTCTCAAGTCGCCGTACGTTGATGCTTGGTTGACTCGAATCCCTACACTTGTCGAGATCGTTCGCGACGCTAATGTTCCGTCGGAACATGTAGTGAACCCGTCGACTCGCGGGAAACTCAACCACCGCATTTTCTGTGTGTAGTCTATACCATTTTCCATTGTTGTTGTGCTCTATACCATTTTCCATTGAAGTTGGACATTCGGACAAAACATTTACGCCTGGGGGTCAACGGGGTTGCTCCTCCGGGGCAATCAAGTTGAGTCTTCACTATGCGGAATAGAACCACTCACTGGCATGGTAGGGGCTGTTTCATTGGCCAAGCGTCTCAGGTCCTATTTGCTGAAGGCGCTTGGCCAATGAAACAGCCCCTACCATGCCAGTGAGTGGTTCTATTCCGCATAGTGAAGACTCAACTTGATTGCCCCGGAGGAGCAACCCCGTTGACCCCCAGGCGTAAATGTTTTGCCCGAATGTCCAACTTCAATGGAAAATGGTATAGAGCACAACAACAAACCTCTCCGCGAGTAATACTCGTCGTTCTTCGACATTATTTACGGTGCTTTTGGGGCTGTAACTTTTCCACTCTGACGTTTTGGACATTTTGTTAGCACCTTTTTTCTCCCACATTTTCTCACGATCATTTTGCAACAACCCCTACGGTTTGCTCCATGACTGGGGCATTATCCTGACCTTTGCGCTGGAATTTGTCACTGACCGATTCTCACTTAACCCTGCTTCTATTACATGCACCTTTAACCCTCTTGTCTTTACGCTAGAGTGTTGATTCTATTCGTGTGCACGTTTCGATTGTCGATACATCGAACTGCTACGGCGTTCTCGCCAGGTGCACACGCGCTTTCGTTTTGAAAACCACTCTGCCGCCGATTTTGAGTGTCACTTTTGTAAGGGTGATTAATTTAGCCAGCTGTGCGCTGTATTGGGCTCTCGGATGTCCCATCACCAACGATTGGCGTTGAGGGTCATTCCGGCAATTGTCTGTACCGCCGGTGCTGTGTGCGTTCACTGTGTTACTATTACGCACATGCACACACTAGCTATCTTCGCACCCATCGCATGCACTTTGACATCCGCCGATCCACCACCTATAATCTCACACGGATCGTTATGTGTGTTAGCGACATTTGAATTCTTTCCTTCTATTTTTTTACCTCATTATGGCTGCACTGGGCACCCACTGATCGACATTTGGTCAACCACACAGGGATACTTTAGCCACATGACGATCATTATTGGAGTACACTACCACCTCTGACAGTGGGGTATGTCGATGTGATCCCTGGTCTTCTCCGATGGGCACAACTGACCTTTTTAACGGCTCAATGATGACTTCCGAACTAGTCAGTTACAAGTTGGACGTACAACACTGCAACGTGCTCGGTTTTACCAAATGGATCACTTACATGGCCGTTGCGCGCCGATGATATTATCAACTTAGCGTTGATTAGTTGTCGGTCGCGTTACTCACATCTGATGGTATTTCGGAATTTGTACTAATGTTGTGAACCAGTGGCTGTTTTGCAACGAATTTTGTGACACAGCACTAAGCTTTCTCTCTCACACGCACACACTTCTGCGCTGTCCCATTCATGCTCTTCGTGATACGGTAACAATTCAAACCGGTACCGGAATCTTGAAACGTTCTATGTGCTCAGTAACGTTTCTTGATTTGTAAACGACTCGACACGCCCCAACAATGTGCGCTTCAGCACAGTTCCGCAACAACAAGTTGTAATTCCTTCCAAATAGCCAACAAAGATGACTTCAAAATGACGCATATACACACTAACGGCAGTATAATACACAACGTTTTATATGACAAGTTAAGCGAAGAATACAGCCACTGATTCGAGGGGCACTGATGAATGGATTGGACACACAATTTCCACTCATCTCTCTATGTTCCAGCAATCGGAAGTCACTGCGAGTACAATTTGCGATGCCGGAGGTGAAAGCGTAGGGTGCATTCACATCACCAATCAGAGTAAACGCCTGGAAAGTTGAAACTATGGGGACAAATTCTCAAGGGACACGTGGGCCTGATACTCGTGAACACAAGATGGGATTGACACTCTGAACAGGTATGATCCACGGTGAAGCAACCCCGTAGTCTGGACAATTCGCAGTACGGGGCATTTGTATCTCTTCTACAGAGATGGCTACCGGTATGAACCGCCTCCACTGTGCCAACATAGTGGCCTGAACCGTCTGTTAAACTAGTAACATTCAATCTGTCGAGGCAGCCATGCTGTTCTTACGCACACTAAATGCTTACCTCGGTGGGTGCGGCTCACTTTAATCGGATCTAATCGTGTGAACCTGTAAGGTGTTCAGATCGCGGAAGCGCGCTAACGCCAAACAATAAACTGTCATGTTGGTGCTTTTAATCCTTCTGATTGTGGGCCTCGTGATCGGCTACATCAACCATCAGAATCAGCGCTGTAGAGGTTAGTAACAACGTTTAATTCCATACTCTGATTTCAACTGAAATCTCCCGACTAACGGCTAAAATACTTCTTTTCTAACAACGTTTATTCTCTTTCACTCTTGCTAATTGTTATTGTTTCGGTGACCCAAGCCAAAATAGCTGCTACCACCACACTCCTACGTTTTAATCTGTCAACCGTAATAAGTATCCTGCCTAGTCGATGCATACTCTATTGTTTGAATTCAATTCAATGTGATGAACTTCCCTAGTTTTTATACGTTTCCTTATACTGTCATAGACGCCTGGGTCGAAGCAGGCCACCGCTTGGTTTGCGTATCCAGGTCACTGTACTTCCCCGGATAATCACACCAGGGAATGGATTATCGCACTGGCCCCTGTGGGTTTTCAACACTGTCATTTACAGAGCATATGGAATATCAGCTTATGGTCTTGTGCAAGGGTTCTCAACGCGGCCAATGTTACTATATGCATCCTAAGCATTGTCCTTGCGCGATGGCGACATTGAAAGTGATCACTTAGTACTACTTATGGGGGCGCATATTAAGCGATATTAACGGCTCTTCATCCATTGTCTCAAAACAGACCCTCCTGTGCCTCATTGGGAAGCCTGTAGAACTCGAATCTCATCCAGTGTTTCGCTCATATGGTTAGCATGTCTGCAACAAACTCTATCGGCGTGCGTTATTTGCCAACATTGCCTTTAGTTTAGTTAACCCTCAGAGTGATCAGTCTGTGGTATGGTAACGTGCGTGACGAAAATCACAAAAGGGTCGAGTCGATTGGTTGCTGTCTCTGGTAGATGAATGCCTCGGAATCGAGCGTGTCAACGATTGGGTGCTGTGTCTGATACGCTGCTGTCACGAAGCCAACGGCGCCCCTGCATTCCCTACTATCTCTGACTGTTAACTGTCCCACCCACCATTTTCACTTCATCTTTCCTAACTTATTAGTATTATTTTTGCCTTACTTTCATTATTATTTTTGTGCCATGAATTAGCTTGTCTGATTCTATCGCACCTCAATGTACTGATCATAGTGGACCTATTGAACTATTTTGCACTGCCCAATTCCACACACACACACACACACACACACACACACACACATGATTGGATTCACAGTTAACTGTATACTATTAGACTATCGTAAAACGCGTTTAGCCTTCGATGCCACTTGGCGTTTCCTTGTCGTCTGCAAGTGTGTACACACCATCGCATTGTGCCTCCACAATCCCTCACCCTTTTCTACCGATTCTCACACTATTTCTACCTATCCTGTTGATCATTTTATGCAGCTGCCATACTGAAGTACGAAAACAATACAATGAATATTCGGCAATTCAAGTGCTCTCCACATCCATACTGGCTGCCCAATTTTATGGACGTTTTCACATGGTCGCTACCGTTTGTGGGAGAAAAAGGTAGGTGCGAACCACTTGGATCAACTTCTGTCGCACACTCTACGTCAATAACCTATACGTGCGCAGCTACAGCAGCGCACAAAGTCCACTTCATTCTGTTTGTCTACAAATTATTTCTCCGCTGTGTTCCCTATGGCTTTAGGATTTTGATTCTTTTTGGCTGTCACATCCCACTTCTGTCTACCATGGTTCACATATCCCTGACTTCATCTCGCGTTCTACATGTGCGTCCAGCGAGATCCACCTAGTTGTTCGTGCTAATCGCCCAACCTGCGCCTTTCGCTTTCGGATAATTACTGCAAAATGTTCCACCTCAGTGTGGTGCGATAATCTGTGTACACCCCTCATCCAGCAGGCTATGATGGAACTGGGGGTGCTGCAGCACAAGTCACCCATGGTCTTTGTATAGGCGCAGGTGTCCTGTGGCGGTCTTATGGAGGCCGCAGTGACAGGCAAATCCGAAACCGGATGCGGCCAACCATGATGAGGGGCCTGACATTCACCACTATTCCGTGATTAAATGTATCAGCAGTACACCATTGCTCTTTTCGCGGATGCCTATCTGTCTTGCAACTACAAACAGTTGTGCACAGTTTGGAAGACTACCAGGCCGCCCAAAATTAGGCTGGCGTTCATTGTGAAAGCTTAGGCATGCTCGGTTTCAACGCCCTTCTCATCGGGCGACGGTTCGATAAAGTTCAGCGGTCCTCTTCCCTCAGGACGGATGGTTGCTTATTCAAGAAATCATTTCCACTGCTTATTCCGTCATCTATTCATTGGTGGTAGCCGTATCATTCAATTTAGCAAAACCCTGGTTGACGATTATCTCTGTTTGTTCTCCGTTATCGTTTCAAGCATCCTTCTGGACCGTCATCACTGATCCATTTTTTTAGTACAACAGTGCTATTTTGTCCCATGTCTCCGAATGAAATCCATACCCATGCTTGTAAAGACGAAGAGTAGCATTTTGAGCTCAAACTGGCACTTTGGTGTTACACCATGTCAGAACAATGTCGCCCCCTCGATCTGACAAGCAGGATGTTGGTGAAATTCTTACAATGCACGTCTATGTAATGAGTGCATGAATGCCTGCAGAAATTCTCAAACAGTCGTGTCCACTTTTTAAATATTGGCGTGTATGGCATTGTGTTTGCTTTAATTGACAATATTTAAGATGGCTAGCGAAACATTCCCTGGGTGGGATGGAATGGCATACCCTTAAATTTATCTTTTTGTTTGGCTGCGGTCAGTTCCGGTGCACAATGCCAGCTCGAGTGATGTTATTCCGATCGCCATTCCAGACTATTTGGTCTGTAAACCGGTATACACACTGACGCCTCTTTGCTTTTTTTGGGAATGTTTGCGGATGCAACTTGAACACGCTCCATTTCTATAATCCACCTGTCGGTTGCCTGACTGTATTTCTACATCCTTATTTTTCGTGTCCTCTTCCATCAGTCACCGAGATGCTCGTGAGTGTTTTGAAGATATGCTCAGATGATGAGCTCATGAAAGAAGGTGATGAGCCATTCGATGGTAAGTTGTTGGTGCATGTCTGCACTCCAATAACATGCGCATGGAATTTCCTTCCATGGCGGCTGCACCATTTCATCGTCTACTGCTAGCAATTTCACTGCGTCATACGTTTTGTCTTAATCCCGAACTGCTCTGTTCTGTGGTTTCTCCAATCTTACCGCCGTGCCTCATTGTCTGGTCAACGAGGCAGATATGTGTGCTGTACATCAGCCGTTATTCTTTATAGCACACCGCACCTCTAACTATCCACTCGGGAGCCGTTCGCTCTGGGTCCATACTTTGAGAAGCTTCCTTCTGACTATTGCTCTGCCTAGCTGGACTACTTTTCCGTACAAGAATTTCACATGAATGCTGCTGTCCTCATCAGTATATCTACCGGTTCGTCTAACATAGCGGTGATGCTTGGATCAATCATTTGTGCATCATAATAATTACATTAAAGGCTACCAGTCGGACTAAGAGGCACCTGTCTTATGGCGGGCATTTCCGTCGATTGCCCAACCATTCCCCACCCTACTGTGTTTCTGCGGAAATACTAATGAACGTCTCCTCTATGTTGCCGTCACAGTTAGGGTTTAGAAATGTTTTCCCAGCGCTACCATTCATCTCCCTGCTTGACGATAGACCTCAATTTGACCATCTCATCATCTTGGCATTGTTTCACACACAATGCCGGTGGATCACTCACACCTCTAATTTCATTCTTCGCCAAACGACGAATAGTACGGGACGACGAATCGCATCTAACACTCCTATGTAGCTACTGCTACCTAATCATATGGTCTATACCATCAACGCAATCTCACTTTGCGTGACCAAACCAACAAATATTTTACTCTCTGATGTGTACCTACCTTACCTATGCAAGTACTACGTGTGCCTAGTCATCGCGTACCGAGAAGGGTCTCGTTTTATTTACCAGACATAGGGTGGCGCAAGGCTCGAGGTGGACAAAAGTTGACTTAGCAGCGGGAAATGAAGTCACTGACGACTAAAATGGGTGCCGTCGGTCCGTCTCGCCTTCCAGGCTGGAGTCCACGTGACTCATATTGTGCTTGGCTTGAGACCTTAGAGGTCATGGCTCGCAGTCGGCACCAGTGGCGCGTCTGCTGCCGTCTTCTCCTCGGACTGCCTGTTTACAGTGTGTTTGGTGCTGAGTTATCTTCAGGGTAATGGCTGATTATGACGCGTGGCAGTGAAAGCCGCAAGGAAGCTGTCTCGCTGATGCCGCCTTATCTTTGCATGATAGCCAACTGTTTGTGATGGCATATTGTTGACAAGGTGTAGGCGCATTGACCCTGAATGTTCGCTTGGGGGAGGGCATTAAGGTTTTTGGGTTAGTCCCCCTTCTCTCCTTCTTATTATTCTTCGTTTTGTAAGTCATCATAGTTATGTGGCAGCTAAGCCTCAGTTCAGATGGCTGGTGTACTGCTGCTGCTGTTGTTGATGACGACGATAATGATGACTTATGCAAGTTGCTTCACGAATGGGTACTCTATAGCTTAAGCAGGAAGAGTTGTTCGCTCTCCTAGCTCCAATTTTCCATACTTTACAAAACTCATTTCGGTGCATACTAATTGTCTACACACCAAATCCGTTGATATGACTTTATAGGTGGAGTAGCGTTCCGAATCCAAGTGTACATCCACAGTTTATAAATATTCCAATCGGCGGTTCCCTGATCAGCCTACGTTTTTCTCTCGGTTAGATTTGATGCTTAGCAAATCACACAAGTCAGCATCACTGGTTTTTCCTCGGTTTAGCTTGTCGGCCAATCGGTCAGTCGGCTCGTGCACTGCCAAGTATTTGTTTCCTCTTCGAACATTTCGACTAACTGTCCTAATGTTGTCTCTGGGTAGCAGTCCCAAGGTGCTCGTAGTTACCAATGCGTATCCCTTCTTTTCGACTCGTCTTATCCAGCTACAAATCAACATTTCTTTTTAAATGTGTCCAAAAGTTCCGACCACGTTTTTCCTTATCACCTACCTGTCTCTACCGAAACCACCCATTTGCGTTCACTTTCGTTTTCACCATTGCTCCACATTCGTCACACCATCGTAGAAAGTGAGTTGTTCTCTCCACTATGTTCTCTGTACAATGAGCTGCATATTCTTCGTTTCATCGGCGCACGTGTTTGTATACTTTCCACGTCGTTGTGTGAGCTGTCGCGCGTTTCATGGCTTCATTGAGAGCCTTCGGTGTGTGTTGTTCACGTGCTCCCACCAAAGCATGCCTCTTTTTTTATCCATTTGTGCGGTTCGACTAAACTGCCCTCTTTGTGGGACTCCTTTGCGTCACGCGTAAACTCTCCCGAGTGACATCACATCTGTCGTCACTGTACAATATCGCCGTCGTGTGACGTTCGCCATGCCACAACCTAACCCGTTCCACATGCAAAAGCAGGTATATTTGCATCTATCGGTGTTAGGCCTTTGTGTTACGATTTCAATCACAAAAAATGTATTTTGTTCTGACGCATGACGCTATTTACACAGGTTCCCACTTAGCATCTGCCTTATTGGTCTCCAGTTCTTATGAAGCTTTAGTATTTCGTTCCTTTTTTGCCTACTTTGCAGTTTCCATTTACACATAACTCTGCGTATACTAATCGCTATGTTCCAGGTTTGTCGCTATCCGATTCGATACTCACTTCTGGTATCTGCATAGTTCACTTCCATTAGTTGGACAACGTCGAGCCGCACACACACACACACACACCGTGTGTTCCGCTAGTTGGCAACTGAGCCAGAGAGCTGGTTAAGTTAGTTTCCTGGGTTGCCACAAGTTCCTCAATCCCCTCGGGCTTTTTGGACTTACGATTATCTCACAGCACAGTCACTCGTTATGTAGGAGTGGTGGGATGGCTTTGATGGTGTAGGTTGAGATGACCGGTGTTCACCAGTTTTAAAATTGTGTATAATACCGCATATTAATTTGCGACTTACATTTGATAAGTCCTTGCTCAGGAAGGGGCTACCCCGTCATCTGTACGCAGTAACGTGCAAGTCAGTGAAGAGTGAGCCGCGGTATGTCACATATAGTGACTTAGTCATGTTGGCTGTTACCGCTCGCTGTGGCCCAGTGCCCTTAATCACAGACTTGTAAGATTAGGGTCCCGAATTCCTTTCAAAAACAGGTGAATATGACACGTGCTACCAGTGTTTTCCCGGGCATGTGATGGCTGTCCAATTGTAGTGTAATTAATCTGACTTACACTCATGTGACCTCTGTGATACGCAAATTATACCTGGTAATCAGCTGTGATTCCCTTACGCTTTGAGGCGAGTTATAATCACAAAAGCTCCGGGGGGCCACAGCACTCGCAGTTTAAGCCCCAACCATAACTGCTCCGCATATTGCACAGCGTTATTGAGACACCTACGTTGACTCAAACTTTCTGGCCCATTCGTCGATTTCTCCATATCTCCCTGGACGACCCTGCAAGGGGTTAAATCGCAGTTTCTGACTTTCCACTCGGGTCGTTGTACCGCTTTCCCGGACAACTTCACTATAGCCGTAGCATTTGTGGCTACTAGCAGACGATTTCCGCGCGTTCGCACACTTTTATTGCATCAGGGTCATTCTCTTACAGACCTGCTCATGGTCTGCTGACCGTTCACAGTCACCTCTCGCTCAGTCTTCTAGATGGGTCCTAAACGGATCACTTTTCCTTTATGCTCCTCGGCCGGTGGCCGAAAGGATTGAACGTCTGGCCTGCAATCTTTAGGTCATCGGTTCGAATCCAGGTAGTGGCAGGCGTCCTCGCGGTATACTCAGCCCACGCGCGACCGGTGGTGGTCGCGCGGCAGCGAAGCCTCGGTACGATGTGCAGACGTACCTGCTGATGACTTTCTTTCCATAGGCTCCACCGTGAACGGGACCATTGCCAATTAACGGCTTACACCTCCAGCTAAGGTCTTATATCAATGAGCCATGGGGAACGGCGGCGGTACGTTATGATTTACAACCTTACTCATCTTCAACTGACATGCAAATTACGAATGTTGCGGGGCATCTAGCCCAGATTTCACTCATATCTGCTAGTACACTCACTGTCCACTTGATCAGGTGATCGATAACGCGGTCCATTGAATTAGCTCAGTTTCGTGCCACACATTACTTTGTTTTTGAATTCCTGAACTTTCTCTTCAACCGATATTTACTTATCCTTGTCGCATGTTGTCTTCTCGATTGGACTGGTTTCACTTTTGACTGTTGCAGCACTATATGCTGTTGCGCAATTGCGTTTGTTGTCTGCATTTTGTGTACAGCTTGCCTCCGCATGTTGCTCTGATTGACTGTTGTTATTGTTGTTGTTGTTGTTGCTGCTGTTGCTTCTGGTGTTCAGCGCAGCTTCTAATTACTTACCTTTACGCGTGTAGGTGCTTCGGTCGCCGCTCGGAAAGAGGTTATCCGCAACAAAATTCGTGCAATCGGCAAAATGGCACGCGTGTTCACCGTGCTGAGGTGCGTCTCATTCATTGAATTTTTTGTCTCTCCCTCCACTGTTTTCTGTATCTCCATCTCTTCACGGAGTTGCCTCACTTCCCTCCAACACCCCCCACACTCGCATTTGTAGGGAGGAAAGTGAATCGGTACTCGAACTTAAGGGTTTAACTCCCAATGGAATGCTTCCTCTTGGTGCACTCTCCGGAGGCAAGGAGTCTCTCAAAGTTGGTAAGCACACCTTCCCTTCACTTGTTTTTGATGTTGGCCCCTCTTCCTGCGCATGTGTGTGGAAGTCACGATGCGGCTTTCCAAGCAGTTGCACTGTTCCCCCACTTTGTCGATCAATCGGTTCTGTGTATGCAACTAACTTTCTCTGACACCTTTATGGCTTATGGAATACTTTTGTTTAAAGCTGGGACCACCATCAAAGCAACTATCTTTATGGCTTTTTCTCCACATTGTTGCCGTACTTCACGTGACTTTCATTCGCTCAAGGTGCAGTGTTTCGGTACCGCCTCTCCTCTATGTTGCAAATTAGGCCTCAGTGCACCAAACGACCATCTGCGTACATCAACACTTTTCCACAAAAATCTTGAGTGGCCCAATTCAGTAGTTCAGTCCATCTTTACGGGGGACATGCGCTGTCAGATAGGTGAAGTGGCCCTATGACCACTCTTGAGACTTTTACTGTGTTTTAGCGAAATTTGTAATATACCACTGTGGCCGAAGTGCACGTACGCTCTGTCGATGGCACCTTTTTATTGCTATCGCTTTGAAGTTCGCACTGATCGATTAGCTAAAACGTTTAACTCAATACTCCGAGAGCACCCGAATCCGTGGTTGAAATTCCGTTTTCTAAATGTAGACATTACGAAACGCGGCAGTCTGTGCATCTGGAATGCATACACAATTCGACTGACTGTCGTAGTGCTGCACAACTGGAACCTAAGCAACTTTTCACCCCCAAGGCACGTGACTTTTGCTGTTAAACTGTGAAGCATGATCAGTGAAACCCCAAAACCTGACACTTCGATCGCTCTCGTCAGTTACAATGCATTACATTCATTAAATATATACGTGGTTATGTATGTTGGGGTCTTGGTAACAAAGTTATGTTTCAGTGATGATTGGTGAATATTGCTTCTGTTTGCCGTGCATGAATTACATTGAAACGTCGAATGAAAAGACGTGCCCGGATAGACTGATTCCGAAACATCGGGAGCAACGAGAACCAGTCTAGTAGGTAGTAAATTTTTCGTGTGCTCCATTTATGGATACCATCCATTTTGGGGACGATATTTTCCTTGTGCACGGCGACACTGGTGGCAATAATGCCATACCGGATATCTGGAAGTTCTACACTACAAAATACTGCTTGTTTGCCCGTTTGAGATGTGCATTGTCCCCCGGTGACACACTCAATGCTTGTCCACCGATGCGGAGTGATATTTCCATAATGGAACTGCTCGGTTACCACCCGCTGCACTTTTGGCACGCATGTTCCCACTTCTCACCTCTGCAACCTGTGTTGCATTTATGGAACGAGTTCGGGTCGACCTCGAGTCATTTTTAGTTTCCATTGCTTCAACGTTTTGCCGCAATAAATTACCCTTATGTATTTGTGTCTTGTACTTATGTAGCTCTATCTGGAATCTCCCCCGATGGCAAGGGAACGCGGTTTGAGCAAGCAAGGGCCATCGATCAGATCAATGAGCGCATGCCTCCTAGGCGAGATTCCGTTGGTGCACCACCGCCATCACTCTCCTTCAATGCGGCTAAATCGTCCGGCTCCAGCTCCTTCAGTCGAACCTCTGATCGGAGAAATTTTCCGTCATCTGATTCGGCTACTACGACTTCTCGCGTGTCCACTTCACCGTTTTTCCATCGTGGATCCACCGGGGTGAATCGAACTACGGTAGACCAAGGCGATGCTGGCACGGGCAGTGGTAGTCATCGTGCTTCAAGTAACGGTGTCGCTCCAGGTTCCAGTGTCAGGGTTTTACCCATCTCTGGTGATCCATCTGTTGGCAATAAAACTAGCCGTACACCGTTCATCTCCACCACCAACCCCAGCAATCCATCTGCTTCTGCCCGCGGCTCAGGCGAATCTGGAAGCACAACATCGCGAACGTTTCCTGGAGGTGGCTCCAAGTGACGCTCCTCTCACCCGCTGCGCTGATGCGGTGAATTTTCCGTCGGCTCTCAATGTGCCCTATCATTCAGGTTGCCCTTGTTTAATCTTAACCCCTTCATTTGTACCCCAACCTGACCTAGATTCTGGCGACCATTTCGCAAGTGTGTAATGACGTGAACACACACACACACACCGTCCGGTTAATTCGGTGCTTTCAGCAATTGGACCGTCGTCCCACTATCATCTGAACGGATTTGACGGATCCACTTGATCGACTCAGCTCGGCACTTCCTGGCACAGTCGCGGACTTGACTGTCCCTCCTTCCGCACTCATACCATGCGTTACTGTCCCTCTTCTGTCACTCGGAAAACTAAACCGAAAGTATGGATTATCAAGAGCTTGTACTAGATTTCTGTCGCTTCCATGTCAACCTAAATGCCAAGTGCGCCCGTTCCTAGGCAGATATAAATGACTCATTGCCTTATTTCCTCAAGGAGCATTCTGCTCATTGTTTATATATCTTATCTATTACCCTGTTATCTTTGCTCAGTTATCTCCCTTGCACAGCCTCGCAACTGACAATTTGAACCTGATTTCCTCCCCATCCCTAAGTCGCTGCCTTTCATTGACTTCCTTCTCTTTGTGCTTGCGAATGTGCATATGTGTGTGTGCATACTTTTTTAATTATCTCATTTTACCTCTCCGGTCAGCGCAGCCAGCCAACTATTCTGTGTTCTCCGGTTATTCCACCATGTCCTCGAGATTTGTCCTCCGTTTTTAGACCGCGTTTTATTAACCCTATTGTCGCCACTCTGTTCCGCAATTCATCCATTCACTTCTTATCCCGAAATCACTTGTTTTCCCTGGAGAAGTCAGCCTTAATTTTGTGCATCTTACATCCATTGTTTCGTTTCTCTCCTGCGCCTCCCGACTGACCTTTGCTTATTTGCGACTTGTGGCATTTTACATGCACCTCCTCGGTATTGCTGAACGTGACCTCAGGTGCCAATTTGTCACCACCGTCAAACAGATGCTTCACCACCTGCGCCAACCCCTTGACATCCTCCTTCTCATTATCATCATCCCCGCATTTTTTGAGTTCTCCTTTCCTAACTTCCACCGGAACTATGTCTCTTTGACGAAAGAACTGTAGATTACATTGCTGTGAACCGAGAATCACTCTTACAGTTGCTGCATCATCAGTGCTCTTAACCCGTTATTTCATTTTCATTTGTGACGTCTCTAACTCGCTTTACTCGTCATAACCGCAAGGGGACGACGACGTCATTGTTCCGCCTCTATTTTGCTTAATTTCATTGTACATGAATTGTCTTGTTCTTATGGCCTATGCCATAATACTCTCTGTCTCTCTGGGTTGAAGCAATCCACGTTCTTGAGCACATAACACACTGCTGGTGTTTCTATGTCAGTTCACGCCTTAAGCAGTGTCCCCATTACCGACGGTTGTAGTTACGGCTGCTTTCTCGGCCACGCTACTCCGCCTTTCGATACCTTCAATACATGAATTGACAGCAAAGTTTTTCGTAGCGGCATTCGCCTAGTCGGGTTCTTCTTACTTGAGTTGTTCACCACAGGATTACCGCTCCAGTTTTGAGCAATCGCAGCAATGGTCGAGATGACTGGAGCCTACCCCCAAGCTTAACTCACGGTCCACATTACGTTCAGTCGTCGTGATCCGACCACATACCGAGAGTACCCTGGGGTTGTATCCACTGCAGACGTATCGTACACTGACCACTTTATTCTTCTCCCTATTCGGTTCTATCACTTGTTGATGTCATTTCTAGTTTGATGTAGAATCTGTGGCTCTTGCACGAGCGTATCGAACAACCATACTGCTGTGGGTTCCCACTCTGAGCAGATTCCTCATTCACTGACTGCTGTATCTCTCTCTTATCTACTTTGGTGCTGAAAGCAAATCAAGTCAAAATAGGCGTTATGAACGCAACTGGGAACATTTTAGGCATTTTTATACTAGCATTGGATATATATATATATATATATATATATATATATATATATATATATATGGTTGGCGGCATCCGGTTTCGGATTTGCCTGTCACTGTGGCAAGCCACAGGACGCCTGCGCCTACAGAGGGACCATGGATGGCTTGCGCTGCACCACCCACAGCTCCAACCACACACCCCATATCCAGTGTAAACCCGAAGGAATAAGACCGGGAGGCATGCGGATGGGAACCACGTTTCATCAACGGAGCCGGCCCACACTCCTTCACAGGCAAACACAAGCACGCTGTATTTGGGGAATCAAGCGCACACAAGGCGGAGGCTGGACCGTAGTCCGCTCCACACTGAGTGCATGGAACCGCTCTCTGAGCCTAGCACGGCCACAAGAACCGTGCACCCCGACCCCTCCAGCAACGACCAACTGTCTCCTGGAGCCAGTATGAACGATGTAGTGGGTAATAGACAGGTAGGCACCTTGTCAACATACACATCAAGCGCAACCATACCAGGGATATCAAACAACAGCCATTCACTTTAAACGACAAGCTGAAATAAAATAAATCCAATAATGCATACAGATACGGTGGCATAACTCTTCACTAAATTACCATATGAAGTAATTTGGTTAGCAACAAATCCGTGATAAGTAAGAAATATCCACAATTTATATATATATATATATATATATATATATATATATATATATATACTCAATACTGTATTATAGAGCAAGTAGAAATGGATTCTGTACAACTCTTTCGAGATATGGCGAAAAACGTTATAAAAGTTGTCAACTTTGAATATCCTTGTCGTTCTCATGTAATATTTAAAATATTCGACTTACGATATTTCAGGATTCACAAATGTGATGTCATCATAAGTGTGCAGTCGTTCTCTGAATCGAATAGAGGCAAAATGCAAATCTAACAACGTTTTGAACTGTTGCACAGGTGTTGCCTCAATCACATGTTCGGGCAAACTATTCCAAATGTTTACCACTCTCCGTTCGAAGCACAGTGGGTGGGGAACACGTTTCATATCCGGCACAACAAGTTTGTATCTGTGTACAAGTGTGCTGCATGGCCCTCGTAAGTGCAGCATTGGCCTTAACATGGGGAACTCACCGAGATGTAGAATTCGGTAGGTCATAATGAGGTCGACTCGCACCCGACGGTAGGACAAGGTGTAGAGTCCTAGTTTCTCGCACCGGTCTTCATACCCAAAGCCACGTAAACTAGGGATGAGCCTGGTAGCAACGTGTTGGACCCGTTCGATCTTTTGTGCCTCGCCTCGGGTAATCGGAAAGTAGGCGAGCGAACCGTACTCTAGCATTGGTCTAATGATAGAAGAGAACAGGCGATTGGCAACCTCTTCAGACCATGTGCAGAAGCTACGTTTGAGCGCCCAAAGCATGCGCAGTCCGTTACGATATAGCCTGTTCGTGTTGTCCACGGACTTCAAATCGTAGCGTGAGAGTACACCTAGGTCCTTCACGGAGGGTGTGGGATATAGCGTTTGGCCGTCAAGGGTGTAGGTTCGGCCGTCTGCACCCTTCCCCAGACTCATAAATACCGACTTGGCTGGGTTGACCGGGAGAAGAACTTCTGCAGACCATGTGGATAAGCGGTTGAGATCTTGCTGAAGTAGGCCACAGTCATCGGGATCGTCGATTTCTCTCCAAATCTTCATGTCGTCCGCAAACAAGGCACACGGCGACCGGAGAAGCTGCGGTAGATCGTTGATGTGGATCAGGAACAGAGTGGGGCCCAGCACAGTGCCTTGAGGCACGCCACTTGTAGAGGGGTACCAGTCAGTTAGATGGTCGTCGACCTGTACCCTCCACTTTCGTCCAACAAGAAAGTCGCGGATCCACCGGTGTAGTGAGCCACCGACGCCACACATGCTGAGTTTGTGAAGGAGAAGCTCATGGCTGACCTTGTCGAACGCTTTACTGAAATCGATGAATATCACGTCGACGGACTTCCCCTTGTTTATTGCCTTCAACCACTCATGCCTCGTCACAAGCAGGTTAGTAATGCATGAGCGACCTTGCATAAAACCGTGCTGTGCGGGCGTCAGGACCTCGTTTGACTGTAGCAACTGCAGCAATCTCTTCTTCACGATTTTCTCAGCAACCTTTGCCAATATAGGTGTCAGACAAATTGGCCTGTAATTGTCTAATTTGCTAGGGTCGCCGCCTTTCGGAATAGGCTTCACCACCGCACATTTCCAGTCAACCGGCAACAAACCTTCGGAGAGCGACCTGTTGAAAAGGTCAGTCACGACAGGAGAGAGGATGGTTGAAAGTGATTTGAGAACCAGTGGGTGAAGCCCATCAGGTCCGGCAGGTTTGGTGCCGTCAAGGTTGGCGAGTAGTTGAGCTACCTCTTCGACGCCACAATGCAGACTATCGAGTTCGGTAAAAGCGGTACACGTCGAACTCGGAACAGACACCTGGTTATTCGCAAATACAGAAGCGAAGTGCGCCGCCAACGCGGACGCACGCTCAGAGCTGGAGGTTAGGGGCTGTCCATCCGTGCCATCCAGCACTGGCACATCACCCGCCGGCTTCAGGCGTCGCTTCACGTATGCAAAGATTCTCTTGGGGGCGGTCTTCGCGGCTAATGCGAGCTGCTCTTCAAAGTGTCGGCGTTTATTCTTTTTTGCACTGTTGCAGAGATTCCGCTGACATTTATACCCTTCGTAATCATTGGCAGAGCCAGAGAGAAGGAATTTGTCCCACAGTCTGCGCCGCCTCCGAGCCAGGTTTCTATACTCCTTGTCAAACCAATGAGGCTTAATCGGTCCAACCTTTCGACATTTCAATGGCACAAATTTGGAACACAATGATGTTAATCTCTCTTTTATAAATATCCAACAATCTTCCACAGATGCAGTTTGTGACAGAGACCAATCCAGTTGGCTCGCGGCTCGAGCAAGACCATCGAAGTCCGTTTTCTAGTAGTTGGGAGCTGGTTCCAGCGGATGTGAATACGGCAAAGATAATTCCATATCAGCTATCAGTACTGAGTGGTCGCTCGTAGCCAGGTGCTCCAGGATCCTAACGTCACGCACTCGTTGTTCGTAGCTCGTTAACATCAGGTCGAGACAGGACGAGGTTGAACGTGTTGATATGCGTGTTGGCTGGCATATGTGTTGCGATGCACCAGTTTCAAGTATCAAATCCACGAACTTTGCTTCAACCTCACTATGTCCAGGCATCAAATGCACATCAGGCCATCGTATTCGAGGACAGTTAAAATCGCCCATAAGCAGAAAGTGTGGACGACTCATGTGGGTCCGAAGATGGGGCAGCCAATCCAAACAACGACTCAGGGGACTGCGATAAACTGCGCCCACAAGCAGTTCTCCGCGCCTGAGGCGGATGGAGCACCACAGTAGCTCACACAGGCCATCGTCACTTCGGTAGGTGCTCACAAGTCTCGCACGCACGGAAGACCGGATGTAAAGTAAGACACCACCGTGGGCATTCTTTAGTCTATCGCATCGGAAACACGAGTGACCGTTGAGTTCAAGTTCTTGGGTGTATAACTCTGCATGCAGCCATGTCTCTGCGAGTCCCACTACGTCTGGCCGCTCAGACGCAACGAAACAACAAAGCTCATCGCGCTTATTCATAATACTGCAAACGTTTGTGAAGGCTACTCGCAGGCCGCAGCAGGAGCCGCCGGGCGTGCTTGAAGTGTGAGCAGCCTGTTTATCCTGATTCGCGGATTGTTGGAAACCACCCGGAAATTTACGATACGAAGATTTGTTTCCCCCTCACTAGTGCGTCTTTTCAACTCAATGATGGCAGACTTGAGCCGCTCCCTGTCTACTGGGTCCAGGTCGGGACGAACATGGATCTTCAAACCTTTCAGCCTACTTAGGCGAGACATGATAAGTCTTGGACTGGCTTCGTCCACAAAAGTGATTCTCATAGGCCGATTTTGTTGATCACCTTGCTTTCCAAGACGGGTAATCTGCCTCACTTTTACCGAGTCCTCACCAGCGTCGAAGAGTCTATCAATTAGACCCTGTAAAAACTCGACATCGTGATCGTAGCGCACTTGGGGTGATGGATCACTGGACTCCGGTGCGTGAAATATCACGAGATTATAATGCCTCTGGTCGGACGAGGTTGGCCTTGCAGGGCGAAGTATACTACCAGCCTCAAGTGGTTTGGCTAACTGTTGACTGTATATATATATATATATATATATATATATATATATATATATATGCAAAGTCTACGAATAGACATAATGCCATCGGAAACCATGGGATTCAAACGAAGGTACAGAAGTAATAAAATAAAACACAACACAACAATGTCCATGGTTTCCTCAGAGGGCGAGATACTACCCGGTTGCCCAAGCCGAAGTAGGGTGTTGACTTAGGGGACACCACCCCGAGCCTTTGGCTGAATAGCCTGTCCGCAAGGCAGCAGAGCGAATTCAGGGAATCCCGCCCATTGGGAGCCGGTGATTGATTGCTCAGTTCATACGTCTTTCGTTTGTTCCTTTGTCAAACAGGGGCCCAATGCTCCCCAGAAGTACAGCATGATGTTGCTGGAATACAATGCTTCGCCAGGTTGAAGCAAGGGGCAGTGACTTTATTTAGTGGCGAGTCACGTCCGCCACGTCACAGTGCTGTTAAACGGACATATGTGGCTTTTTATAGGGAGAATGCTTGCCAGGCGAAAACCCACCACGTCCTGGAACACTGCCGCCGAACCATTTGCTGAAACGGGAAATTCCCGAATCACCCAGCTGGCACCACGAGGAGGTTGTTCGGCGAGCCAGCGGATGTAGTGAGGCGTAATGTATGCATGGAAATGCAATAAAGTCTAAACAGAAGACAATTGCATGCACATCACTCAAATGAACGTTCACGAGTGCTGT